AATAGTAATAGTAATAGTAATAGTAATAGTAATAGTAATAGTAATAGTAATAGTAATAGTAATAGTAATAGTAATAGTAATAGTAATAGTAATAGTAATAGTAATAGTAATAGTAATAGTAATAGTAATAGTAATAGTAATAGTAATAGTAATAGTAATAGTAATAGTAATAGTAATAGTAATAGTAATAGTAATAGTAATAGTAATAGTAATAGTAATAGTAATAGTAATACTATAAGGAATAAGAATAGTAATAATAATAATATAGGGAATAAGAATAGCAAAAGTAATAGTAATAGGAAATATAAAAGTAAAAGAAATAGTATAAAGAATAGGAATTAAAAATTTAATAATAAAAAGAATAGGAATATGAATAAGAATAGTAATATCAATAGTAAAATAAATATTAATAGTAATAATAAAAGTAATAGGAAAATGAATATGAAAAGCAATAGTTATATATATAATAATAGTTATATTAATAGTAATAATTATAAAGATAATAGTAATTGTAATAATAATAACTATAGCAATAGCAATAGTAATAACAAGAGTAATAGTAATAAGAAATCTAACAGTAATAGAATAAAAAGTAGGAATAGGAATAACAAAAGTAAAAAAAAAAAGAATAAGAATAGTAATATAAATAGATATAATAGTAATAATAATAGTATTAATAATAGAAAATGTAGTAAAATTAATGTAAAAAAAAATAATAATAGTTATAGGAATAGGAATAGGGATAGGGATAGGAATAGGAATAGGGATAGGAATAGGGATAGGAATATGAATATGAATATGAATATAAATATAAATAGGATAAGGAATAGTAATAGTAATAATAAAAATAAAAGTAATAGTATAATGATTAGGAATAGCAATAGTATTATTAAAATTAATAATAATAAAAGTAATAATAATATAAGGAATAATAATAGCATAAACAATAACAATAATAATAGAAATAGTAAAAACAAATATTACAATTGTAATAGTATAAGGAAAAGGAATATCAATAGTAATTTTTATAAAAATAGGAATAATTATAGCAATAATCATACTAAATGTAAAAGAAAAAGGATTAAGAATAACAATAAATATAATAATTTTAATATAATTAAAAATAAGAATAACAATAAAAATAGCTAAAATAATAGTAATAGTAATAAAAATAGTAATAGGAATAGAAATAAGAATAGGAATAAGAATATGAATAGTAATAGAAATAAGATTAGCTACAGTAATAGTAAAATTAAAATTTATAGTATAAAGAATATGATTAACAAAATTAATCAAAATAATCATAATAAAAATAGTAATAGTAATAAGATTAAGAATAGTAATAGAAGTAAAATAAGAATTGGAGTAGTAATAGTAATAGGAATAATAATAAAAATAAGAATAAAATAAGAGTAAGAGTAAGAATAAGAATAAGTATAAGAATAAGTATAAGTATAAGAATTCGAATAAGAATAAGAATAAGAATAAGAATAAGAATAAGAATAAGAATAAGAATAAGAATAAGAATAAGAATAAGAATAAGAATAAGAATAAGAATAAGAATAAGAATAAGAATAAGAATAAGAATAAGAATAAGAATAAGAATAAGAATAAGAATAAGAATAAGAATAAGAATAAGAATAAGAATAAGAATAAGAATAAGAATAAGAATAAGAATAAGAATAATTATACTAATAATACTAATAATAATAATAATAATAATAATAATAATAATAATAATAATTACAAAAATATTAAAAAAAATAAAAAAATAAAAACTATGTTAAAATATAAGGTAAAAACAAATTTGAATATATAAACTAAAAAAAAATATAGGCAAATTAAATTTAATAAATTTATAATAACTAGTTTATATGTAAATATTATATAAGACAATAATAATAAAATTAACTTATTTAATAATATGATGATTTTTTTAATTAAAAAAATCAGTTTTTTAACATGTAAATATAAAGTTTAAGAAATCTTTAAAATTTTCCTAAAAATCAAATGTTTATTTTAAATAAATTTAATTAGATCTTTTAATTATATGATCAAAATTTGTAAAAAAATTAAAATTTGTAAAACTAAATAAAATATGATAAAATATACTAAAATTAATGTTAGATTGAATATTAGTAAATAAAATAAAAATTAAAAAATTATAGTTCTTAAATAATAATAATAATAATAATAATAATAATAATAATAATAATAATAAATATATTAATTATAATAATTACAGCTTTTATAGATTAATCATTAATATTCTTATATTGACCAAAACATTAACCAATAACTTGAATTTTTTAACTTTTTAAAACAATGTTAAAGTTACAATTAATTTTAAAGTAAATATATTTTTTTTAACTATGTTTATTTATTCTTAGGGCTTTAATCTAATTTTAATAATAATAATTTTTCCAACCAATAATTTTATTTTTATTAGACTAACATTTCTTTGAACAATTTAAATAGAAAAAAGTAAAATCTTTAATTTAATTTATATAATTCTTAATTAATGTATTCTAATAACTAATAAAAAAACAACCTCACACAATTTTGATTTTTCATATATATTATATTATAATTATTTAAAAATTAAAATATTATTTTATATTATACACTCATCACACAAAAAATTTTCCTTCTATCAAAATTTTCCAATATTTTTTTTTTTTATTTTATATTTTTGTTTTTTTATGTTTTGAATATTTAATAAATTTATTATTTTAATTTGTTTTTTTTTATAAATATATTAATTATTTTTTTATATATATAAAATTTAATTTTATTAATATTAATTTTTGTTATTAAAAAATCTAGTTCCTTATTACATTCATAAAAAATTAATATAAAACAATATAGTATTAATATATCCATCAAATTAATTTTTTTTTTAAATTTCTTTAAAATTAACATTTTATTTTTTAATTTTATATAATTATAAAACTAAATAATTTATTTTTATTAAAATATTAATAATTGTTTATTTTAATATTACCTAAAAACAAAAAAGGATAAATTTAAAAAAAACTAAAAAAAATGTAAAAAAAATAAGACTTTTAAAAAAGATAAGAGTTACAAAAGCAAAAGGAATAAAAAAATAGAAAAAAATTAAAGCTCCGTTATTAAGATGTAGAAAAGCTTCAATTAAGATTAAAAGAAGAAACTCCATAATCAGGAGTATATAAATTAATTTTTGTATATAAATTATACAATAATATAGGATTATCTTTATGATTATAAATTAGTGGATGCTTAAAAAGAAAAGGAGAAATTATAGCCATAAGAATTTAGAAAAAAATACAAAATAAATTTCAGTGATTTACCTATATCCTAAAACACAATTTTAGGATTATAAAAGCGTAAATTTATAAAGATGACAGAAATATAGCGTTGTACTATTCCTCATTTATTGGCTGGTCGAGATTTAGTTGGAGCTTCAAAAACAGGAAGTGGAAAAACCTTATCTTATATAATTCCTATATTAGAACGTTTATACTTATAAAAATGGAATCCATATGATGGTTTAGGGGCAATAATAATATTACCAACTCGTGAATTAGTAAAAAAAAAAAAAACATTATATACACATATAAAATATTTATTTTAAAAAGGCAACTTAAGTATTTGAAGTGTACAATTCGATAAGTGAAAATCACATTTTATCAGTAGGACTTATAATAGGAGGTAAAAATTTAAAATACGAGAAAGATAATATAAAAGGAATGAATGTGTTAATATGTACTCCTGGCCGTTTACTTTAACATATGGACGAAACTGCTGATTTTGATTGCTCAAATGTATAAATATTAGTAATTGATGAAGCTGATATGATTTTAGAATTAGGATTTTAAGAATCTTTGAATTAAATTTTATTTAATCTATAAAATTCAAAAAATAAATAAACTATTTTATTCTCAGCTACTCTGAGTAAAAGTATTCATGAAATAAGCAAGTTTTCCCTTTAAAATCCTGAACATGTATTCCTTCATGATGTTAGGGCTGCTTAAAATTAAAACACTGATTTAAAAGATATATTTGAAGCTCCGATAAAATTAAATTAGTTTTATATGGAATGTCCTGCTGAATAAAAAATCAATATACTCTTTTCGTTTCTTAAAAGTCATAAAAAAAACAAAATTTGCATTTTTATGTCCACTTGCAAATAAGTTAGATTCATTTATGAAAGCATGAGGAAAATGCATTTAGGACCTCCTGTTTTTGAATTACATGGTCGTTAAAAATAAGTAATATATATATATTTTTAATTAAATTTTTATATTAAATTAATTAATATATATATAGTCTAAAAGAATGGCAATATTTTTCACTTTTGCAGAAAAGAAATATGCGGTTTTATTTACAACTAATATAGCTGCTAGAGGTTTAGATTTTCCTTGTGTAGATTGGATTATATAATTTGATTGTCCAGAAGATTAAGTTACTTATATGCATAGGGTAGGACGTACAGCAAGATATAAATCAGGAGGTAATTCACTTTTACTTGCTTTGCCGAGTGAAATGAAATTTGTAGAAAGACTTAAAGAAAAAGGCTAATAAATAAAAAAATTGTCAGTAAATCCTGATAAATAGATTAGTTTTACGAATACTCTTTAATCTTATTTAGTGGAAAATATTTAATTAAAATATTTAGCTTAAAGGGCTTTTGTTTCTTATATGAGAAGTGTTTATTTAGCATAGGATAAAAAAGTGTTTGATATTAGTAAAATCGATGGAAAATTATTAGCTGAAAGTTTTGGGTTAATTTAAGCTCCGGTTATCATTATTAAATAAAAAAATAATAATAATGAAGATGATGAAGATGTATAAGAAGAAGATGAAGAAATTTTGGAAAAAAAAAGAAAGTTAGAAGCTTTAAAAGAGAAAATATAAAAATTAAAATAAAAATAAAATAATAATGATTTTAATGAAATGGAAGAATAAAATTAAGAAAAAAAAAAATTAAAAGATACAAAACATAAAAAATTATAAGGAAGAGTAAATAATGATATTTTATCAAAGGCTTTTTAAAAATAAATTATTGGAAAAGACGAGAAGGAAGAAGAATTTTTAAAACCAAAAAAAAGCAAAAAAAACTTGATAATTTAAGATAAAGAAATTGAAAATATTATAAAAAAATAAGAGTATCATGTTTCGAAAAATTAATTGAAAAAAATTAAACCGGATGGACATTTTGGAGGTAAAAATATAGTATATTTTGATGATGATGGATAAAAATATACTTCTGAAGATTTGAGAATTTAATAATATAAATTAAATGAAGAAATCATTTTGAAAAATAATGAAAATTTGACACAAAAGTATATGCTTAAACTTGATGAAAATAAAGAACTTGATAGAAAGAATGAACTTTAGAGAAGAAAGGAAAAAAGGGATAAAAAAAAAATGAAAGAAATCGAAAAACATCTTTAATAAAATTAGGATAGTTAATAAGATTTAAATCAAGATGAAGATTAATTTACAGAATAAAATGAACACTATGATGAGGAAAATGATTATGATGAAGATTAAGAAAATAGTTAATTTGATGAAGAATAAGATGATTATTAATAAGAAGAAAATTCATGTGAAGAAGAGATTGTTTAGAAAAAAATAAAAAAAAGAAAACATAACTGAAGAGTATTTTTTTTTATTAAAACATATTTGTTTTAAAAATAAAAAACTAATATATTCCTTTTTATAATAATAAAAATATTAATATATATATATATATATATATATATATATATATATATATATATATATATATATATATATATATATGTATTTTCTCAGAATAAAAATGCGAATAATAAAGCAGAAATTCCCATTAAAATCTTTCCAAAAGTTTAGTATTAAGCACATTATTTTTAGCATAAAATTTTGTTGAAATAAAAACTACTATCAGCCTTAGTAATGGGTTAGTTTTTCAAACATAAATAAAAGGATTCAGGTAAATTATCCGAAGCTAATAATTTACCAGTATTTAATTCCTAATCATATGCTTAGCAGTTATTATCATGTTAATAGTATTATTAGTATTTCTAAGAAGCTTAAAGGCAACTAACATCACTTGGATTACATTCAACAAATCTACATTTCAAATTATCAGAGCATTGAGTGTATTAATAAATAGTAGTAACTGCAGTTACTTAGTAAACTGAAAGAATTGAAAGGATTAAGATTAATGTTTTGCTCATTTCTTTGTCTTTAATTATTTTGTTATTTTTATTTAATTGATTATTATATATATATATATATAATAGATTTTATTTATATATATATAATTTATCTTTTTGTTTTATTATAAATTTTTTTTGTATGAAAAAATTTATTATAAAAATATATTTATTTTATAAATAAATAAAAAAAATTATTTTATAAATAAAAAAAAAATTATATCTTATTAATATTTAATAAAATATATGAATATTTTTTGTTGATTTTTCCTTATAATCTGACAAATTTATATTGATATTAATAATTTACTATTAATTTATTTTTAACTTATTACGTAATTAATTTTTATTATAAACTAATAAATTACGATATGATTAATATCTTTTTTTTTTTATTAATTATAATTAATTTTAAATACTTATTTTTCAATATTTTTATACTTTTTTATAATATATTTTTATATATCAAATATAAATATATTTATATAAATAAATAAAATTATTTTTTATTAAAATAATATATTATAGTTTAACTGAAATACAAAAAATAAATAGAAAATAATATGTTTCTCTAAACATTCCAAAATATATGAACTAACTGTTAAAGTACCTTCAAACTTTGCTTTAAGTCTAAAATTAGGCTTTTTATGATATTTATCATCGAAAGTATTATGTTCATCAATTTTTTACTCAGGTTCAAATGCCAACCTTTATCGTGTTTTTCTTCAGGTCTGACAGGCTTAGCTTCTTCATTTCTTTAATTAAGTTCAACACATCATATTTAGCATTATTAACCTTTATAATAGAATTCACTATCTTTATTATTAGTTATATATGTTTTTATTTCAAAATTTAATAAATTATCAGGAAGTGATTAATTAACTCAAAATTTAGAGTAATTTTAATAAAAAAGCATCAGGTTTTTTTTTAGTATAATCTTTATATTTAAATGATGTTTAGAAAGATCAAAAGTCAGTAAATTAATACATAATATATGTAAATTTATTTTTTAATAATAATTTTTTCGTATTACAGTAAATGTTACATATTTATTTATTAGAATACTATTAAAATTATTAATATACAAATTATTTAGGTGATTATATTTTTTATTATTTGAATTTATTTTTTATTTAGTATTACTATTATTATTTCTTAATATTGTTTTTTATATTATTATTATTTATGTTTTTATATTTTGGTAAAATTTATGAAATTTTTAAACATTAAACTGCATTAAATCTAGCTTCATTATTTTGTTTTTAATATTAAAAAAACTTAAGCATTAGTATTGATAAATTGTGAAAAAAATTGGATATATATAAATAAAAAATAAAAAATAATAATATTTATATATAAAATAATTTTAAATATATAAAATGCTTTAATTATATTAAAAAAAATAATTGAAATATTTTGATAAAAAAAATCAAATGATATATAAATGAATATAATAATGTTTATATGAAATGTACAAATTATATATATATATTTTTTAAAGTTAATCTCTTATTATTAAATATAAAAAATAAAAAATTATTAAATAGACATTTAAAATTAAATAAATAGATTCTTTAAAAAAAGAATAATAAGAAAATATAATTATAAGTAAAACAATATCAATAATAAAAATATTTAATTAAATTTTTATTGTGGATACATAAAAAGCTATTAATTTGATTAAAAAATAATCTAATCTAATCTAATTAAATAAATAAGAAAAAAAAAAATTATAAAAATAAAAAAAAATTAATAATATTATGTTAAAAACATTCATAAATTGGAGAAAAAAAAAAAAAAAACATTTATAATAAATGAAATATATAAAGGAAAATGAAAAAAAATAAATATAAAGAAATTAGAAAATAAAATTATAATAATAATAATAAAAATATTAATAAAAATATTAATAATAATAATAATAATAATAATAATAATAATAATAATAATAATTATTATATAATTAATAATAATGATAATAATAATAATATTATTAACAAAAAAAGTAAAAGTAATTGTCATGTTATCTTTTATTTCTTTTATTTAAATTTATTATATCATTTTTTTATAATATTTTTTATGTTTAATCATTATTTTTTTTATTTTAATTCTCAAAATCTAAATTTTTTTTTATTATTAATAATTACGTATAAAAAAAAATAATTAAAATAAATTATAATATAAGTAATTTTATTAATAATCATAATAACTATTAGTATTTTAATCATATCTTTTTAATAATATTAATATATATGATAATAAATTAAATATTTACATGAATATTTAAATAAATAATTTTTTTAAAATATAAATATTTTACTTTCTATAGATTAAATAATAATATATATTAATATATTTTAAAAATCTTTATTACTTTTATATAAAATTTGTATTTTATTTTATATATATATTTTTCTAAATTTTATTTTAATTTTTAATATTATTATATAATTCATATGATTAAATTACTAAATTCCATATTTATTTATAAAAATAATCTATACTTTTTATTTTACATTCTATATTTCATTGTTTTTGAATTAAAAATTCTTAATTTTTTAATAACGACAATATATTAATTTAATAAAAAAAAAAATTGAAATATAAAGACATTTATTACATAAAATTATGTATTTAATATATTATTTTTAAATAATAGTACATAATTGTATAAAATTTGAAGATATAAAATATATTAATATTAAAGCAATTCATATTATTTTATCATTTCCTTATTTTTCTTGTATAATTTAAATAAATTTATTGTCAACTTAATTTTATTTTTATAAATTTAAGTGATTTTCATTTTATTTATCATCATTAAAATATATAGATTACTTAAAATAATTTTCAAATAATAAAACGGTTTGTTTTTCTTTATGTATAAAATAAACAATTTAAATGTTTTATTATTCTTCCTAAAAAGAAAACTTTACTAAAACATTTGCAAGAGTTTTAGCAGTTAATTATTTAGGAATTCCGAAAAAATTAGCTCCAAAATCAGTAAGAATTATAGACTTAAAGCCTTATTCATTTACTAATTTTAAGCTTTTTGAAAATCCTTGTTCCAATTATTATATTTCTTTATGATTTCCTCCTCTCCACATCGGGATTGCTATATGTACCACTTTTTTTACATTTTTTAAAACTCCAGTGTCTGAAATTATCACTTCTCCATTTTTAAATGGCTCATTAGCCTTACCTCCTCTTTATATTTAAGCCTCTTTGTTTAAACTTTCAATTATTTAAGGATGAGAAAATGATATTGAACGATTTTTAATAAAATTATCTGTTCCTAAAAGTATTACATCTGCTGTTTCGGTTTATATATCCCCTGTTTTTAATATTATTTTTATGTTTTTTATTTGAAATTCTTGGTTTTCGCATATTGTTATATTATCTTATTATTGGTTTTATTAAGTTGTGGATATTTCTTCTTTGTTTAAACAATTTCCCATTTTTTTTATTTCAAAATTTATATTATATATATGTTATAATTTTATAATATATATATATATATTTTTAATATTAACTTAAAATTTTTTTATGATAACATTCTTAATGAAATATTATTTTTATATTAATATAGTTTGAAATAAATAAATATATATATATATATATTTATTTATTTTTTTTAAAAAATGTCAAGTTGAAAAGTATTCAATATTTTCATTAATTTTATTTTATTATATAAATAAAAAGATATATAATATTTTTGTTTTTTCCAATAATCAACTGTTTTAATAAAACTTTTTCAAATCTTATTTTTATTTATAAAACTACAAAGACAAAATATTCAGAAATATAATTAATTTGTAAGCAAAAATTTTATTATTAAAAATTGTATTTATAGAGATAAATATTAAATATGTTTTTATATTAAAAATAAAATAAACGATAATAAGGATTATTATTTTTTTTTTTTTTTTTATTTTTATTTTTATAAAAAATATTAAATTACCTAATTTTTTTATTTTTTTGTTTAATTATATATAATTTTAATTTAAAAATATATATATATATTTTTTTTCATATTAAAGCCAATAATAAAGTAATAAATTATCCAAAAATAAGTAACTCTCCGTATAATTTATCTTTATCAACTTCATTTGTTTTATTATTTAAAATCCAAGAAATATTTTAGTTATAATTTGAGCATTCCATTTAAGCCTAAATTCTTAATAAGTATTTGTTATCTTAATGCCAATAAGTTTTTTATTATTACAAAGCTCTATATTATTAAGGTAAAACTAAGAATTCTTATTCTTTACTTTCATTGCTATCAGTGTTTTTTTTAAAAAAAATATTAATAGCATTTTATTTATTTATTTCTTGATTGACAGCATTTTCTTTCTTTTTTTCAAGAGTTGCACTGTTTTCTTCTTCTTTTTCAACAGGTTTATGTAAAATTTAATCATCAATATCTTTCAAACATAAATAGAAAGATTAAGGAAGTGGGTCAACACCTTTGAATTTTTCCATGATTTTACTTTTTTAACAATTTTCATTAGTATTTAAAAAATCTGTATGGATTTTAGCTAATAAATTACATTAATCAGAAAGTACAGGATTACATTATAAATTTTAAATTTTATTAATCCAACATATTTAATATTCTTCAATTGATACTAAGATAGGTTTTAATTTTTCAGTTCTTATTTATGTAAAAGCTAATATTAATAATACTATATAGGATGCTTTCATTTTTTTTTTATTATTTCTTTTATTTGAATTTTTATTATTTATTATATTTTATATTTGATTAAAGATAAAATAAACATTATTATAACAAGTAATGACATTAATCAAATTTCTATATTTTAATATATAAGTGTATTATTTATTATATTAAAAAAATTATTAGGGTATTATTTATTTTTAGAGGAATGTTTAGAAATCGTTTTGATTCTAAATATGTAATGTTTATTTTAAAAATATTGTATCTAAAATTTTATTCAAGTATAATTTTATCTTTAGTAGATTTATAAAAATAATTTTTATTTTCTACCCCTCCAATATTT